AGTCAGGAAGACAACTGTCGGGTTTTGAGGATGGGGTTGGGAGGACACGGACGGGGCACGACTGCGCCATGAGCACACTCGACACACGCGAGAAGACGGAGGATCTCATCATCTCTCCCAGCCCCATCCTCCCGACACGATGAGTGTCTTCCATCGAAAGCGATATCTACCCGAAGCAACCCCGTCGGCCGGTCGGCCAGCCCACGAGGCCGGCAGCGTGCCGGCAGAGGTCTCCAACCTATACCGCCGGCCGCGCTAATTACTCCAGGCGGCAGGGGCATACACGAGCCCCCGCTCCTCGACAGCGACGGCGTCGAGCTCCCACTCCGGGCATGCGAAATGCGCATGGAACGCGAAAAAATCCGAGCGGCCCCCGAAATGGGCACGTTGCCATGCCAACGCTCCTCCCCCATCCCCCCCCCCAGAAAGGGAGGCAGGGACGGAGAGGGAGGCTATGTACACCTCGAGCTAACAAAAAGACGCGAGGGGCCACTGGAGACTCAGATCTCTCAGCAGCCCTTCCTGGGGGGAAGGCCGGGACTGGAAGGTCAGCTGCGCGTGTTGACACGAGTCTTAGCTCGGTGCCACAACGTCCACATTAGCCTTCCAGCTGCCCTCAAAGCTGGCTCACGAGCCCCCACCCCCCCTCCGACGCCCCCTCCGTTCCCTTCCCCTCGCCCTGCAAAATCCTGGCGGCGCCAACGTTGCCAGGGTTCTCACATGCAGATCGGCGCACGGACATGACCCTCGATAGACGTCTGCGCTAGCTGACGCTGCTGCTGAGCGACGCTGCGCTGGTACCTGGCCGACAGCGGTTCGTCTCTTCCCGCCTCCGCCTCCCTCCCACCCTCGCCTCCCGACAAGCCACTGGCTCCGCGACCCAGCAGGGCCAGTCATCACGCAAGCAAGGCCGATCGTTGCTTCATGCTCGTCGTCCGGCTCGCCTCGTAGCGGTTCCAGACACACACGTGGCAGTGACTGCAGTCCGCCCCGTCCTTGCACCCGCGGGTCTTGCGCACATACTTGCAGGCGTCCTGGCAGGTGTAGGGGTGGCCCACTGAGCCGACGCTGAGCACCCCGGCGAAGTCCCTCGGCATGCTCAGGCAGTCCGGCCCCGCGCCGCTCTTCTTCTTCGCCATGGCCGTGACGGTCTTGGGCCCCTGCGCGCGGGCCCGCTCGCGCCGCGCCGCGGGGGCCCCGGGCGCTGGCGGCGGCGGCGCCGCCGCCGCCTCCGCCGAGGGCCCCCAGAAGGGTCCGCCGCCCCCTGCTGATTCATCACAGGGGTGCCTGGCGTGCTGGACCTCTTGCGGTTTTGGTTTTGGTTCTTTTTCCAAAAGAACTCCCCCTCGCGCTTCGGCCCGTCCTGCCGGGGTCCCGGGAGGCTCTTCCAGGACCGCAAAGGACCTCAACGTCCACAAAAAATTCTCCAAGACGGCTCAAGATGGCCTCCAAGATGGCCACGTTGGCCCAAGATGGCCTCCAAGATGGTCCAAGATGGCCTCCAAGTTCGCCCAGGATGGTCCAAGACGGCCTCCAAGACGGCCCAAGAGAGTCCAAGACGGCCCAAGACGGCCCGAGAGGCCCCCCAGAGGCCTCCAAGACGGCCCCAAAGGCCTCCAAGAGGTCCTCCAGGAGGGCCCGAAGATGCCAAAATCATTGAGGTGTTTGAAGGATTTTGGCATTCGCTTCTTTTCGGCTTTCCGACGACCCAAGACGGCCTAAGAGGCCCACGACCCAAGAGGCCGCCAATACGCCCAAGACGGCCTCTAAGACGACCCTGCAGCACCCCAAGAGGGCCCCAAGTCGGCCCAGAAAGGCCCCCCAAGCGGCTTCCGACGGCGTCAGGCGGGCCAGGGGCCCACCAAGACGGCCGAAGATGGCACTAAGATGGCCCAAGACGGCCTCAGAGGCCTCCAAGAGGGCTTCCAGGAAGGCCCGAAAAGGCCAAAAACATTGATTTCCGTTTGGTGTTTGAATGATTTTGACATTTGCTTCGTTTCGGCCTTCCGACGGCCCGAGACGGCCAAAGTGCCCCCAAAGATCGCCCAAAGATCGCCCAAGAGGCCTCCAAGATTGCCCCAGAACGACCCAAGAGGCCCCCCAAGACGGCCCCAAGAGGGCACAAAAACGACCCAAGAGGCCTCCGAGACGCCCAAGATGGCCTCTAAGACGGCCCTAGAGCATTCCAAGAGGGCCCCAAGTCGGCTCAGAGAGGCCCCCCAAACGGCTTCCGACGGCGTCAGACGGGCCAGGGGCCCGCCAAGACGGCCGAAGATGGCACTAAGATGGCCCAAGACGGCCCAAGAGGCCTCCAAGAGGGCTTCCAGGAAGGCCCGCAAAGGCCAAACTCATTGATTTCCCATGAGTTTTTGAAGGATTGTGGCATTTGCTTTTTGCTCGGCCTTCCGACGGCCCGAGACGGCCAAAGTGCCCCCAAAGATCGCCCAAGAGGCCCAAGACGGCCCCAAGAGGCCCCCAAGACGGCCCAAGAGGCATCCAAGACGCTCAAGATGGCCTCTAAGACGGCCCAAGCGCCCTCCAAGACGTCCTCCAAGAAGGCAAGAAAGGGTCAAAATGGCCTCCAGGCGGCCAAGATGACCTTCAAAAAGGCCAAGTGTTCCCCGAAGGCTTTCCAAACCGATTCGGGGAACACATGGTCCGATAGCTTGGCAGGCCTGGCCACAACGTTCGGCCACATAGGCGCTTCCGAAAAGGCAGGGGGCGGCGGTGACCGCAGGCGTCTTCGATACCATCCTCTGCGGGAGCTTCTCGGCCATGCCCTGCGACCACGCCGGCGGGGCGTGCGGCGCCAACGGGCGGGCCCCCGGGGACGGCGTGCGGATGCGGCCCCAGGCCGCGTCCGGAGTGGCCCCCGCCCAGGCGACGGGGGGCGGCGAGCGCTGCTGGCCGGGCATCCACTGTGGGGGCTTCTCGGGCCTGCCCTGCGGCCACGCCGGCGGCGCGTGCGGCGCCTGTGGGCGGGCCTCCGGGGACGGCGTGCGGATGCGGGCCCAGGCCGCGTCCGGAGTGGCCCCCGCCCGGGCGACAGGGGGCAGCGCGCCCGCGGCAGAGGTGCTGCAGTCGCCGTAGAAGTGGCTGAACACGCCTTGCCCTGGCGCCCCCCAGGCCTTCTGATCGTGGCCGCGAGGAGTGGTGGCCTCCATGAGCTCATGGTCGTCGATGTGCAGCGCCAGCTGCAGGCCACTGGCACGGCCACCCTGCTTGTTGGGAGCGGCGTCGCTGCAGGCGCCTGCTGCGAGTTCGAACCGGTCAGGGCTGCTGTCACGTGCGTCGCCAGCGGAGAGTTCGAAGGGGTCCGAGACCTCCTCCCAGCTGGACGCTCCGCAGTGTGGCAGACCCTTGGAAGATCGCGTCGGTGAAGGGTCTGGGGTGCGCCAGCCGCGGCTCAGCCCCGGCGTGGCACGCTCCCGCACGCTCAGGACGAGCTGGCTCGGCATCGCTGGGCGGGGCTCGGCTCGGATGCTCACCGTCGAGGTACGAGGCTCTCGACTTCTGGGCACTCGTGGCCTTGAGCCAAAAGGGGCACGGGACAGCTCTCTGCCGTTGGGGGGCCCCCAGAGGCCTGAGGACGCTTCCAGGGCGAGGCCTCCAGACCCCTCTGGAGATCTCTGGACCGATCCTGCAGGGACCCGAGGCGAGAGGAGCTCCCGCTGGAGGCAGGAGCCAGCCCCTGCAGGCAGTGCTTCCCTCACTGGAGGCAAGACGAGGTCTGCCCTGGAAGCAGAACTTGCTCGCCTCCAGCAGAACAGGCCTTCGGCACGTGCTCTCTGCCGGGGAGCCGGGCCAGCGCGCAGGGCTCCGCTCTCGAGCGGCCGCCCTGGGGCCGTCGCGGGACGGGATGGGGCCAGCCAGAACGAGGGTAAAATCGGGTGAGGGTAAATCGGGAATCTCTGGTATCCGGCGGCTCTGGAGGATGCATCGGGCGCCGCGGCCTTCCCAGAGCGTTCCAGAACGCTCCGAGAGCGCCCCAGGCCGCTCTGGAACGGATGGAGCCTCGTCCCGGCCCCGCCCCAGCGGGGCCGTCGTGGGACGGGAGGGGTCAGCAGGCGAAGGAACACGAGGAGAGAGGAGGATCTTCATTTGCGTTGCTCGCCTTCTGGGACACGCGCGCGGGAACCGGCGAGCCTGGAGTAGAAGAAGGAAAAGCTGCATGAACAGAAACTTTCGACGGTCCGCGCGGATTTCTTGGATCTGCGGTGGGCCCCCTCCCTGGCGCGCGGAGCGCGCCAGGGGCGGCGCCGGAGGCGCCGCCGAGGGGGGCCTAGCGCCGATCCAAGAAATACGCGCGGAGCTTCAGAAAGTCCATGGTTATGCCCTTTTTTCTCCTTCGATGGAAGGCGGTACGTAGTCGACATGCAACTTGGCAACCTGAGCACTGGGGCTCTACCCCAGCGGTCCGTCTCTGCGGAGTGGCTGCAGATGAAGGGGGGGCGGAAGGGCCAGGGCATGGACGGGATGACATTGTGGGAGTTGGGGTAGGGCGAGGAGGAACGAGGACGAACTCCACAGTCGGGGATCCGCGAGCAGGCTTCATCTTGGACTCCTTGCCAGGGACGCGCAGCGCTCGGGGCATGCTGCGGGCCCAGGAGAGGGATGACGAAGAGCCGCGACAGACAGTGTGAGTTGCAGCTGGAGATGCCTGCGTGGGCTTTACGGCGCCGTGGGTGGCTTCTTCCCCCTCTCCTCCTCCCCTCCCTCCTCCGGTTGGGGAAGTCAGGAAGACAACTGTCGGGTTTGGAGGATGGGGTTGGGAGGATACGGACGGGGCACGACTGCGCCATGAGCACACTCGACACCCGCGAGAAGACGGAGGATCTCATCATCTCTCCCTGCCCCATCCTCCCGACCCGAAGCGACCCCGTCGGCCGGTCGGCCAGCCCACGAGGCAGGCAGCGTGCCGGCAGAGGTCTCCAACCTATACCGCCGGCCGCGCGAATTACTCTAGGCGGCAGGGGCATACACGAGCCCCCGCTCCTCGACAGCGACGGCGTCGAGCTCCCACTCCGGGCATGCGAGATGCGCATGGAACGCGAAAAAATCCGAGCGGCCCCGGAAATGGGCACGTTGCCATGCCAACGCTCCTCCCCCATCCCCCCCCAGAAAGGGAGGCAGGGACGGAGAGGGAGGCTATGTACACCTCGAGCTAACAAAAAGACGCGAGGGGCCACCGGAGACTCAGATCTCTCAGCAGCCCTTCCTGGGGGAAGGCCGGGACTGGAAGGTCAGCTGCGCGTGTTGACACGAGTCGTAGCTCGGTGCCACAACGTCCACATTAGCCTTCCAGGCTGCCCTCAAAGCTGGCTCACTCCGACGCCCCCTCCGTTCCCTTCCCCTCGCCCTGCAAAATCCTGGCGGCGCCAATGTTGCCAGGGTTCTCACGTGCAGATCGGCGCACGGACATGACCCTCGATAGACGTCTGCGCTAGCTGACGCTGCTGCTGAGCGACGCTGCGCTGGTACCTGGCCGACAGCGGTTCGTCTCTTTTCTTTTGTTTTTTTTTTTTTTTCTTCTTTCTTTTTTTTTTTATTCTCTCTTCTTTCGTCTCTTTTTTTTTTTTTTTCTTTTCTTTTTTTTTTGTTTGTTCTTTCTTTTTTTTTTTTTTTTCTTTTCTCTTTTCTTCTTTCTTTTTTCTTTTTTCCTTTTTTCTTTCTTTTTTTTTTTTCTTTCTTTTTTTCTCTTTTTTTTCTTCTTTCTCTTTTTTTATCTTGTCTTCTTTTCTCTTTTTTCTTTTTTCTTTTCTTCTTCTTCTCCGCGGCCTTCAGCCTCCCCCCCGCCCTCGCCTCCCGACAAGCCACTGGCTCCGCGACCCAGCAGGGCCAGTCAACACGCAAGCAAGGCCGATCGTTGCTTCATGCTCGTCGTCCGGCTCGCCTCGTAGCGGTTCCAGACACACACGTGGCAGTGACTGCAGTCCGCCCCGTCCTTGCACCCGCGGGTCTTGCGCACATACTTGCAGGCGTCCTGGCAGGTGTAGGGGTGGCCCACTGAGCCGACGCTGAGCACCCCGGCGAAGTCCCTCGGCATGCTCAGGCAGTCCGGCCCCGCGCCGCTCTTCTTCTTCGCCATGGCCGTGACGGTCTTGGGCCCCTGCGCGCGGGCCCGCTCGCGCCGCGCCGCGGGGGCCCCGGGCGCTGGCGGCGGCGGCGCCGCCGCCGCCTCCGCCGAGGGCCCCCAGAAGGGTCCGCCGCCCCCTGCTGATTCATCACAGGGGTGCCTGGCGTGCTGGACCTCTTGCGGTTTTGGTTTTGGTTCTTTTTCCAAAAGAACTCCCCCTCGCGCTTCGGCCCGTCCTGCCGGGGTCCCGGGAGGCTCTTCCAGGACCGCAAAGGACCTCAACGTCCACAAAAAATTCTCCAAGACGGCTCAAGATGGCCTCCAAGATGGCCACGTTGGCCCAAGATGGCCTCCAAGATGGTCCAAGATGGCCTCCAAGTTCGCCCAGGATGGTCCAAGACGGCCTCCAAGAGGCCTCCGAGACGCCCAAGATGGCCTCTAAGACGGCCCTAGAGCATTCCAAGAGGGCCCCAAGTCGGCTCAGAGATGCCCCCCAAACGGCTTCCGACGGCGTCAGACGGGCCAGGGGCCCGCCAAGACGGCCGAAGATGGTACTAAGATGGCCCAAGACGGCCCAAGAGGCCTCCAAGAGGGCTTCCAGGAAGGCCCGCAAAGGCCAAACTCATTGATTTCCCATGAGTTTTTGAAGGATTGTGGCATTTGCTTTTTGCTCGGCCTTCCGACGGCCCGAGACGGCCAAAGTGCCCCCAAAGATCGCCCAAGAGGCCCAAGACGGCCCCAAGAGGCCCCCAAGACGGCCCAAGAGGCATCCAAGACGCTCAAGATGGCCTCTAAGACGGCCCAAGCGCCCTCCAAGACGTCCTCCAAGAAGGCCCGAAAGGGTCAAAATGGCCTCCAGGCGGCCAAGATGACCTTCAAAAAGGCCAAGTGTTCCCCGAAGGCTTTCCAAACCGACTCGGGGAACACATGGTCCGATAGCTTGGCAGGCCTGGCCACAACGTTCGGCCACATAGGCGCTTCCGAAAAGGCAGGGGGCGGCGGTGACCGCAGGCGTCTTCGATACCATCCTCTGCGGGAGCTTCTCGGCCATGCCCTGCGACCACGCCGGCGGGGCGTGCGGCGCCAACGGGCGGGCCCCCGGGGACGGCGTGCGGATGCGGCCCCAGGCCGCGTCCGGAGTGGCCCCCGCCCAGGCGACGGGGGGCGGCGAGCGCTGCTGGCCGGGCATCCACTGTGGGGGCTTCTCGGGCCTGCCCTGCGGCCACGCCGGCGGCGCGTGCGGCGCCTGTGGGCGGGCCTCCGGGGACGGCGTGCGGATGCGGGCCCAGGCCGCGTCCGGAGTGGCCCCCGCCCGGGCGACAGGGGGCAGCGCGCCCGCGGCAGAGGTGCTGCAGTCGCCGTAGAAGTGGCTGACACGCCTTGCCCTGGCGCCCCCCAGGCCTTCTGATCGTGGCCGCGAGGAGTGGTGGCCTCCATGAGCTCATGGTCGTCGATGTGCAGCGCCAGCTGCAGGCCACTGGCACGGCCACCCTGCTTGTTGGGAGCGGCGTCGCTGCAGGCGCCTGCTGCGAGTTCGAACCGGTCAGGGCTGCTGTCACGTGCGTCGCCAGCGGAGAGTTCGAAGGGGTCCGAGACCTCCTCCCAGCTGGACGCTCCGCAGTGTGGCAGACCCTTGGAAGATCGCGTCGGTGAAGGGTCTGGGGTGCGCCAGCCGCGGCTCAGCCCCGGCGTGGCACGCTCCCGCACGCTCAGGACGAGCTGGCTCGGCATCGCTGGGCGGGGCTCGGCTCGGATGCTCACCGTCGAGGTGCGAGGCTCTCGACTTCTGGGCACTCGTGGCCTTGAGCCAAAAGGGGCACGGGACAGCTCTCTGCCGTTGGCGGGCCTCCAGAGGCCTGAGGACGCTTCCAGGGCGAGGCCTCCAGACCCCTCTGGAGATCTCTGGACCGATCCTGCAGGGACCTGGGGCGAGAGGAGCTCTCGTTGAAGGCAAGAGCCAGACCCTGCAGGCAGTTCTTCCCTCACTGGAGGCAAGAAGAGGTCTGCCCTGGAAGCAGAACTTGCTCGCCTCCAGCAGAACATGCCTTCGGCAACCTCCCTCCAAGCTCCCTCTTCATAGGCCCCTACACATTGCAAATGTTCAAGACCAATGTGCGCGGCGCGAAGGCGAGAGCCACATGTTGAAAAGGATCCGCCCTCAATCCGTGAAACTCTTGCAAATGTGTAAGACGAATGCGCGCGGCGCCAAGGCGAGAGTTACATGTTGAAAACGACTCGCCCTCAATCCGTGAAGATCTTGAAATGTTTTAAAAACGAAACTGCGCGGCGCTTGGGCGAGAGCCACACTTTGAAAACGACCCACCCTCCATCTGTGAAACGGTTGCCAATCTTTAAGCTTCAGAGTCGTAGTTGGTGAGGAAGTCCCAGGCGAAATGCCCGGCCCGCCCTAAAAACTGGCCTCGGGGTGCAACTGGGAGGAGTTATCTACAAGGAGAAGGAATGGAGGAGGAGGAGGAGGAGGAGGAGGAGGAGGAGGAGGAGGAGGAGGAGGAGGGGAGCAGTGAGCGGGTGGAAGGGGCAAGCTGGGCAAGCTCGCGCCATGTCTGACATAGCCCTCCCAGCCAGCATCCCTTCCCCTGACGCTGAGTTGGATCTATCCGTCGACGGGTGTCGTGGCGAACCTGGAATCCCCCACGTGACCCCATCGTGGCATGCGCAATCAGACAAGGGAGCTGTGTACACTGGATGAGGAGGGGGAGGAGGAGGAGGAGGAGGAGGAGGAGGAGGAGGAGGAGGAGGAGGAGGACGACGAGGAGGACGAGGAGGACGAAGGAAGCAAAAAAAGAGGCGAAGCAGCAGCAGATGCAGCAGACGGAGCGGAAGGAGCAGGGGATCAAGGGGAAGGCGGGGCAGGGGAAAGGAAGGCGTCGACAACGACTAGGAAGCACCCGAATCTAGACATGTGGCCCGCGCAGGTGCGAGAGCGCCATCCTGAACGACGGGGGCAAAGCGCGGATCTCGCAACGATGTCAACGCTGCAGCGTGGGGCACCATTGCGAAGAGCACAAGAGCGGCCGAACCCAAGCAAACATAGAACCGAGTCCTCTGCGCTACAGTAGGAGCTCGACCACGAGCATCCACAAGAAACCAAAACCTGGAATCATAGGACGCCCATTGATTTTGGCGCTGGAACGTCACGCTTTCCATAGCAAAACCATCGAAACCCAAGAAACCCAGGGCACCCTGGAGGCAAGCAGGGTGTTTCTTGGCATGGGTCCCCGCTGTGAAGCAGACTGCATGCGCGAGAAGCGGATGCCGCGCCTGGGCAGCAACACGGGAAGATGGGAGCGCAGAGCTCACGCTGCCCCCCTGCGGAGCAGGAGGGGACGACCCCACGGGGCGGGGGGCAGGCGCAGGGGGGAGCAGGAGGAGCGGGGGCAGGGGCACAAGAAGCCGCGATCCGAAGTACGTGACACTTCCTCCATGAAGTGACTGCGCCTGTGCGTGCGTGCGCGTGGCAGTCAGAGGCGGGGGAAGAGAGAGCCCTCGCAAAGAGCAGCGAGCAGAGGGCCATGAACAGGTGGTGAGCGCCAGGCAGCCGAACAGAAAAACCTGCAGTGAGCAGACCCACCCTGCGGACGCAGGGGCGCCGGGGGCGGCGTCTCTCATGCACTCCCCCGTGGCGCCCCGCAGAGTCGCGCTCAACCCCTCCCCCGTCTGGTGCTGGCGGTGGGGTGTGAAGGGCCCTTCTCCCCCAACTGACACCTTGGCAAGCTCCAGGGCCTTCTGCAGCTGTCCGGCATGAAGCGCCTCGCACACGCAGCGCCTCCAGGCCTGCACGGCCACGCGCAGCTCCTTCTGCCCCCACCAGCTCCGGTGGTTGTACGCCAAGGCCGCGTCGAAGCCCCCTGTCTCGCATTCGCCCCTGGAGTCCATGACGGCCGCCTTGCTCCCCGGAGTGTCGAGGAGGGCGGTGGCGATCGCCTCCGCCACGCAGGCGGCCGCGAAGGACATGGCCAGCCGCACGGGGTCGGGGCCCACCTGCGCGAGACGCCCGGTCCGCCAACCCACCCAGTCATCGTCGGGGGTGCGAACGGGGGGAAAGGGGCAGAAGGAGGGGGGGTGGAAGGCCACAAGGAGGGAGACATAAGATGGACTGATGCAAAGCCTAGGATGCACCCGAGGTGCTGCGGTACAACCTCTCGTCTCAAGTCCCCCCCCCCGCAGAAGCTTGCGGACTCCTGCTCGCTCGGGTAAGGTGTCCCCTCGAAGGCGAGCGCACGAGCGGGCATGCCCGTCGGGCGGAGGCCCCGTGTGAAACGGCATTGCCCCGCATCGCTCCAGCAGGCACAGCATGCGAGAAGGCTGGATACTGCGGTTTGCGGGCGTGTCCAGCGATGGCCTTGGCTTCCATCGGAGCCACCCTCGATCCGTGCGGCTGTCTCGCGCATGTTTGCACGCGCGGTCATCAGGCATTGGAGGTCTGAGGCGAGGGCCCCTGCTGAGAAAGAGACGATCTCCAACCGCGCAGATAGCGCAAGGGAGCCTGAAGCGACAGGGAAGACGAAAGAGAGGAAGGATAAGAGGAGGACCAGAGAAAACCCAGGGTGCAGCAACGATGCTGCAATACACCCGCTGGTGCCAAGTCCCCTCCCGACAAGACCCTGCACGTACTCCTTCTCACACTGCGGGCTGAGGACTCCTCGAATGAGGAGCGCCCTGCTGAGCTTGCCACTCAAGCGAGACTGCGTTTCGCGAAGGATCGTTCGAGCAAAGTAGAAAACGCAAAGAAATAGAGTGACCCGGTCGAAGGACATGCCAAGCGACAGCCCCACTTTGAAAAAGCGCTTGACACCCACCAATGCACGAAACCGCACACACACACACACACACACACACACACACACGCACACACACAGCAATAAGAGCAACATCAGCGACAACAACAACAACAACAACAACAACAACAACAACAACAACAACAACAGAAACAACTGCCCACAACAACAAATGCAACAATAGCAAAAGCAACAAAGGCATCAACAACAACAACAACAACAACAACAACAATCATTTTACCCGAACGCCCAGTGTTCTCCCCAGTGCCAGGGTTTTCATGCGACGCCAGCCAATACCCCCACTTCGTGGGGGGGCAATGCAAGCTCTACCAAACATCCACACGACTCTCGGGAACCACCCACACCCAGCTTCCCGCCCTATGACGTCAGGACACTTCACTTCGTGGCGCGCGGACGATCGTGGATACTACACTGGCGTGGAGTACACACCCGCAGAGGTTGATCACTTGTTTGGGCCCCGCATGTGCCCCGCATGGTGCATTTGTTGCGTATGACATACATAGTACAGAGAGACAGAGAGAGAGAGAGAGAGCAAGACAGAGAGCCAGTGGAGAGAGAGATAGAAAGAGATTCGTCACATGTGTGAGGCAACCTGAGAAGATGTGGTACACGGTACACGTGAGATGGTACGCAGTGCCAAGATAGTTGGTCACATTTTTGAGGCAAATTCCTGGGAAGGCGATTACACAAGTAGATGTGTTACGTATGATAGATATGAAGCAGAGAAAGAGCGAGAGACAGAGAGAAGGAGAGAGAGGAGTCGGTCACATCTTTAGGGCAACTTCCTGAGGGATGTGGGTGGATTTTGATATTTTTCGGATGAGAAAGTCTTGCGTTTGCATATGTTTTCGGAACATCGCATCTTGAAATTATTGAAATCACATTATGTTTGGCAGGATTTCGGCACGCGCGCGCGGCGGCCGCGCGCATGTGCACTTCGTGTCATTTTTTGCAAGGGATGGTGGCCCTCGTAGGCTCGCAACCGTTGTTGCAGAAGGTCGAAGCACCTGAAAAGGTTCCTCGCAAAGGCCCTTTTAACAGAAATGTTTAAAATCTGGTGGGTTTCCTAGGAATCCGCAAGAGCGCGCGGAAGGACATTTTGACAATTTTTTCTGAGAAAACCATTGGGTTTTTGATGTTTTTTATGTTAAAATCGTTACGAAACCTAAGGTTTTGGAAGGATTTCGTCTTGCGCGCACGAATGTCCACTTTACCTTATTTTTTGCAAGGGATTCTTGCAATTTGATCAAGTAAAAACAAGAATTTTCATTTTCTATTGTTTTTTGCAAGGGAAAACGAGCGTCAACAAAAAACCGGATCCGGAGCTCATCCACTTTTCTGAAGCTTTCGCGAAAAAAATATGAAAATGTAGCTGCGGCCTAGGCGCGGCGCAGAGGTCGCGCACCAGGGGTCCCAACAATAATAATTCTTTAGAAGGAATAATGTTCAACAACAACAAACAGTTTAAGACTAATCGCTCGTATCTGTTCGCGTGCCATTCAACACGGAAATTCTGAACCCTCGATACCCGCCCTCTTCGTCTGCGATCTTACACCATTAGGGGTAGATCTGCCTTACCTGCAACGTATATTTCGTGCAGCCCCTGAGGCGGGGGAAGAGAGGACGGATGGAAGGAAGGGACAAGGGGAAAGGAGGAAGATGGAGCACGAGCGAAAGTAGCAGAATGGGGGGCTAGGAGCAGAAAACAACAGGCAGAACCAGACGGGTAGATCGGGCGGATAGGCCCTCACGGGCGGGTCGGGAAGGCGGGCCCAGGCGGCCAGGTCGAGCAAGCGGGTTGCTGAAGCGTGCGTCTCGCATGGATCGCGAGGAAGTCTCGAGCGATAGCGCGATCTGCAACGGGGCCACGAGGGGCTGCAACGGGGCCACGAAGGAACGGGGCCACGAAGGGTAGCGAGAGGGCCACGAAGGGCTGCAACGGGGCCACGAAGGGATGCAACGGGGCCACGAAGGGAGGCAACGGAGCCACGAAGGTTTGCAACGGGGCCACGAAAGGCTGCAATGAGGCCACGAAAGGCTGCAACGGAGCCAGGAAGGGTTCCAACGGGGCCACGAAGGGCTGCAACGGGGGCACAGGGCTGCAACGGGGCCACGAAGGGCTGCAACGGGGCCACGAAAGAACGGGGCCACGAAGGGTAGCGAGGGGGGCACGAAGGGCTGCAACGGGGCCACGGAGGGCAGCGAGGGGGCCACGAAGGCTGCAACGGGGCTGCAACGACCACGAAGGCTGCAGAGAGGAAAGAGGAGGAGAGAGGAGGAGGGAGGAGGAGGAGATAGAAGGAGGTGGGAGGAGGAGGAGGGGGGAGGAGAAGAGAAGAGAGAGGAGGGGGGAGGGGGAGGAGGAGAAAGAAACGAAGAAACAAAACAGAGGAGGAGGAGAAAGAGAGAAGGAGGAGAAGGGAAACGGAGGAGAAGAGATGAGAAGAGAGGAGGAGGGAGGGGGAGAGTGTAGGAGGGAAGAGGAGCGGCCGCAACAGTGGGTGGAGGGATGGTGCGTTCGCGGCGGTCCATGCCTGACTGGGCCGCGCTGGCGGAAAGGACTCCTCGAGGTCGGCAAGCGCCTCGCCGAGGTTGCCAATGGCCAGGTGGCACACGGCCGCCTGGTCGTGCCTGCAGGGCTTACCTAATCCCGCCTCATCCTGTGTCTGTTCCTCTTTTCCTCCCTCCCTCCATCTTACCCGTCCTCCTTCAGTCCACCCATTCATCTCATCATCACCCTGCTCAGTGTCATGCCCTCCATCCCTCCCTCCCTCCCTGCATCCCTCCCTTAGTCACCCTCATCATCACCCTCATCCTCATCCACATCCTCCCCTCCATCACCATCATCAGCATCATCATCAGCATCATCATCAGCATCATCAGCATCATCATCAGCAGCAGCAATAACCGTCTCCGACTCCGCATCTGCCCCCCTGCTCCCCCGTGTCCTCCTCCTCCTCCTCCGTATCCTCCTCCTCCTTCTCCTCCTCCTCCCCGTCATCCGCTACGCATCCACACTTGTCGTTCACACCCGTGCGTTCGTGTTCATTGCTCTCCGCCTTCGCCTCATCCTCAGCATTGTCATTAGCACCAGCGGCATACCACCACCAGCAGCATCATCCGCAGCATCAGCAGCATCGATACCATAGTCATCACCATCGTCAACGTCGTCGATGCAATGTCACTACAGCCACGAACAACGATAAACGAAGCACCCTTACACGAAACATCGGCAACCTCAACGTGAACACATTCACTATCAGCATGATGGTGGTGGTCGCCACAATCATCATCACCATAAGCAACATCAGCATCATCGTCATAGGCGTCATCACCATGAGCATCACCATCAGCAGCGTCAGCATCACCATCATCAACATCATCAGCCGCGGCAACAGCATTGTAAGTGTCATAATCATCACCATCATGAGCATCAGACGAATCATCCTCATCATCATCATCAGCAGCAGCATCATCACCACCACCATCGTCACCAGCAAGCATCACCACCATCAGCATCAACATCAGCAATATCGTCGTCATCGTTGTTATCGTCATCACCGACACAGCCACCATAAGCAACATTGGCATCATCACCGTCAACATCATCATCGTCATCATCCGCATCGTCATCAGCACCAGTTTCCTCATCGTGATAATCGTCATCACCATCGCCATCACCATCGCCATCGCCAGCAGCATAATCATACTCATCAGCAGCATCATCGTAATCATCAGCATCATCAGCATTGGCCTCATCATCATCGCCGTCATGATCATAAGCATCATCAGCATCGTCAGCATCGTCACCACCACCACCGCACTCGCTATCAGCATCACAATCGTCGTAATCATCGTCCGAATCATCATGATAGTCGTCAGTATCATCATTATCACGTATCCTCAGTAACGTCATCCGCAGCCTCATCCTCACCATCGCCATAAACACCATACTAAAACATCACCATCATCATCATCATCATCATCATCATCATCATCATCATCATCATCATCATCATCATCATCATCATCATCATCATCGTCATCACCAAAACCAGCATTATCATCATCAGCATCACCACCTTCATCATCATCAGCAGCATAATCATCATCAGCATTACCATCACCAGAAGCAGAGTCATCAGCATCACCATCATCAGCAGCAGCAGCACCAGCATCATCATCATCATCATCATCATCATCATCATCATCATCATCATCATCAGCATACGCCCCATCCCCCTCAAAAGCACCCGCCTCATCCTCCTTTCATCTAACTCCTCCTCCTCCTCCTCCTCCTCCTCCTCCTCCTCCTCCCACTCCTCCTCCTCCTACTCCTCCTCCTCCTCCTTCTCAGACTCCTCCTTCTCTTCCTCCTTCTCCTGCTCATCTCCTCTTGCTATTCTTCCTCGTCTCCTTCCCTTACTCTCCTCTTCCTCTTCCCCCTTGTCCTCTGCTCCTCCTCTCCCTCCTCCTCCAACTCATCCTCCCCCGCATCCTTCTCACCCTCCCCTGCACGACCTCTTCCGCCTCCCACGCGTGCTCCTCCTCATCGTCTTCATAATCAGCACCACCATCGTCTGCCATCCTCCTTTCCCCTCTCCCCCACACGTTCCCTTCACCTCCTCCTTCGCCTCCGCCTCCGCCTCCTCCTCCTCCACCTCCTCCACCCCACCTCCTCCACCTCCTCCTCGTTCCTCCTCCTCCTCCTCCTCCTCCTCCTCCTCCTCCTCCTCCTCCTCGTTCCTCCTCCTCCTCCTCCGGTGCCGGCGGGCGAGGTGCCGATACCTGCCGCGGGCCCGGCGGCACGCGGTGGCGGGACCCGCCGAGCCCAACGGGGCGGTGGCCTTCGGGCTTTGCGCTTCGGGCGTGGAGAAGGGCGCAGCCTTGAAGGGGCCCCAGGACACACAAATCAATACCCACACATAAACAGATTCCCCATATGTTCTTATATTTTCTGGGTTTTTGTCCTCCCCCCCCCACTTCCCATATTTTCCCATATTGTCTGGGGAATCGACGATGAATTGCGTCTGTGTGTTTGCTCCCCTCCTGAAGTCTACAGTCAACCCGTAGAGTAAGGATGCGCGATAAGGATGCAAGGGCCTTGGAAGCCTGTTTCGAAGTTTTCCAGCGGGGCGGGACCAACGAAAGTGGCCAAGGATGCACCGAGGAGGCAAGGATGCAAGGGCACCCTTGGGTGGGTTGCCCGTCCTTACTATGCGGGTTGACTGTACTTCCGCCGGTGGCTGCCCCTGTAGCCCCGTCCAGGGCGCTGACAGGACGATCAGCCACCAGCGGGCGCTTCGAAGCTTACTCGGAGGATCCCATAGGTCGCAGGCCCGGCTCTGCGACAAGGGCAGGACGGGCAGCGACCTGTGCACGTGTGCCGCGCGGAGAGGGGCACACTCTGGCACCGCTGCTTCGCTTGCGACGGCCACGCGGTGCGCAGAAGGGACCGGTGCCCGCCGGAGCTGCTGGCCGCCGCGCGCGTGGTGCGCGAACGCGGAGAGGCGGCGGGTGAGCTAATCGCCCGAGGTCTCGTGCCCTGTGCGCAGCAATGCTTCTCGAGGTCAGAGGCTCCAGAGGCCCACCACCTCGTGTGGCACACGCGGCCCGAGGGAGGCTTCTTCTCGGGTGACGTTTTCGTAGACGGAAGCGCCTTCGACATGAAGGACGACGCCCTGAGACGGACAGGGTGGGCCATCGTGGCCTTCAACGACGACCGGGAGATCACGGGCGCGGCCTACGGCGTGGTGCCGCTGATGCAGGCGCCGCTGCAGGAGGCGCGCGACGGCGAGGATTACGCGTTCAAGATGCTGGCGCAGCTCGAGCAGGGCCCTCTCAGGGTCCACTGCGATTGCAAGGGCACGGTGAGGTGTGCACGCGACCGGGCCTTCGCCATGCGCGAGGCCAACGTGCGGCGGCACCTCTGGTCAGCGTGGTGGTCCGAGATGGGCGACCAGGAGGTGGAGGTCGTGCGCACCTCGGGGTGAACGCGACGACGAGCCACCTGGAGAGCTGGCGGCGCGCTGGTAACGCCGCGGCGGACCGCCTGGCGCGCCGTGGAGCCTGGCTGTGGGGCGTCCCCGACGAGGCACGCCTCTTCGCCGCTGCGTGCAGGCGCCGAGCGAGGCAGCTGGCGCGATGGCTGGGGGACCTCCACGTGCACCTGCAGGAAACAGAAGTCAGCGATTCCGTGGGCCCGGGTGCAGACGCACGGGAAGACGAGGAGGAGCACGACGGTGGCCAGCACGACGCCGAAGGCGGCCCAGCGACCAGCAGACGGCCTCCACAATGTCACGGAGTCGGTGCGGCCGTGCCCCTCCAGGAGATGCCTGGCGCACTGGAGGGGCGGCGGACGGAGGCGCGGAGGTTCGCCACGCCCCTGCAGCGCCATGGAAGCCGAGGGGCCACAGCATTTTGGCAAGGCCGTGCGACGACGAGGACGCGGTGCTCTTCTGCATGCAGTGCGGTGCCAACGCGCAGGTGCCGCGGAAAGGCCGTGGCAGCCTGCCGGGTCCGTGCCACGGCCCCGAGGCCGCTGGACTAGCAGAGGCGCGCCGCGGCTGCGAGGCGGCCTGCACCCGCACCCCTGGAGGCAGAGACTTAATTCAAGGGCCTCGCAAGCCATCGAACGAAATGTCACGCTGCCAAACAATGGCATGCCCAGGCCCACGCGTTGGCGAACGAGGTGCGGCAGCAGAGGCTCAAGACCGATTAAAAGTGGCAGGGCAGGGTGGCAGGTGCTGAGGAGCTCAAGGATGCTCAAGAGGCTTCTGGTGCGCTTCGCTCACGGCATCAGCACAGGGACTCCACGATCACGCATCAGCATCAGCATCAGCATCAGCATCTCGCTCACGGCATCAGCATCAGAGGCTGCATCAGTATCAGCATCAGTCTGCGCTCACAGCATCAGCATCAGCAACAGCATCTCGCTCACAGCATCAGCATCCTGAGCTTCGCTCACAACTCACGATGCTTCAACAAGCTCCTGCTCGGGATGGAAGCACAGCTGGCCAGCTGGAGCAGAGGTTGCCGCAGTCTCCTCGGCCTGCTGCGGATGGGGCGGGGGCTGCGCCTGTCATCGAGTACTTGGGGCTCTCGGAGTCCCCCCTTTGGGGGAACCAAAGGGTACCGATACCGCTACTCGCCAGACCTCTCCCGGGGTGAGTTGTGACCAGGATTTCGAGGCGAATCCAGCGGTGGCGACGAGGGCCTCCCAGGAGGCCCGAAAGGAGGGAAAACGGGCGAAGGGTAGCGGTATGGGTACCTTCTCCTCCCTCCCTCCCTCCCTCCCTCCCCCCCTCCCTCCCCCCCTCCCTCCCTCCCTCCCTCCCTCCCTCCCTCCCTCCTGCGCGCCTGCTCCTCCGCCGCAGGTCCGCGGCCCACTGGCCGTACACGTGGGCGACTAGGGGGTGCCCGGCGGGCAGCCGCAGCCGCGCGAGCAGCAGGGCGTCCGCGAAGAGCTCCGCCCGCAGGTAGAGGCGCACCGCGTCCTCGGGCCGCACGGCGCCGAGGGGGGCCGAAGGGTGCCTCCTCCTCCTCCTCCTCTCCTCCTCCACCTCCTCCTCCACCTCCTCCTCCTCCTCCTCCTCCTCCTCCTCCTCCTCTCCCCCCCTCCTCCTCCTCCTCCTCCTCTTCCTCCTCCTCCTCCCCCTCCTCCTCCTCCTCCTCATCCCCTCATCTCCCCTCCTCCTCCTCCTCCTCCTCCTCCTCCTCCTCCTCCTCCTCCTCCTATCCCCCTTTCTTGAATTCAAGAGCGACTCCACCCTGTTGCACACCGAGGCGTGTCCGCAGGGGGGCGGGCTTTCCGCCTGAGACTCTCGCACCCTTCATGACGCTCAAGCCTAGAGTGTGCAGCCACTTCACGGATGGAGGGCGGCTCCTTTTCGAAATATGGCTCTTGCTTTAGCGCCGCACACATTCGTTTTAAACGATCACAAGCGTTCAATGTATGGAGGGCGGGCCGTTTCCAAAATGTGGCTCTCGCATGAGCGCCGAGCACATTCGTCTTAAAAGTTCGCAAGATTTTCACGGATGGAGGGTGGCTCTTTTTCAAAATGTGGCTCTCGCCTTTCGCGCCGCGCAGATTCGTTTTCAAAGTTCGTCAGAGCTGCACGGATTGAGGGAGGCTCCCTGTCAGAATGAAGCGAGGAGGGAGCGAGGCAGAAGGGGGGCGCATGAGGGAGAGAGGAGACTTGATGGCGACGAAGGTGTAGCAGCAGGGAAAGCAAATAATCTTGGCAAGCGGCCCCTGACGGCCAGGTCGGGGGGGTGGGCCCTAATTGGCGGGTCACGCGGGCGGACCCCAACGGGCGGGGCCAGCGGTCGGGGCTTCAAAGCGGGCGGGAGGGAACGCTGACGGGCGGACCCTGACGGGCATGTCGGGCGGCCGGATCCCAACGGGCCGGTCGGGCGTGCGGATCCTAGCGGGCGGGTCGGGCGGGTGGACCCTAGCGAGCGGGTTGGGCTGGTCGGGCGGGCGGGCCCTGACGAGCGGGTTGGGTGGGCGTGGCATTGAAGCGAACCTTCAAATCAGGCGAGAGCACGAGTCCAGAGTAAATCCCACCAGCCCTTAGGGCGTGAGTGGTTTAGAGCGGTTCTTTTTCCAACCCCCTCTACCCCCCGTCGAGGAGGGGTTTACCCCTCCCCGTATCCCCTCCCCTGAACGTGGATGAAGGGTTTCGCGACCCATTGGATCGTCCAAGTGGGCATCGGCTAGAAGGCAACAAAAATGGATTGTACGTAGGTGGTGGGCCAAGTTTGGCCTTCTGGGGGGGGGAGGGGCCTAATTTAGTAGCACCCTCTCTTCTTTGATCGAGATCCTCCGAGAGTGCCCCAAAAGTGCGCCAAGAGGCGCACAGGAGCACCCAACCAAGAGGTCCCCGAGAGGCTCCCAAAAGACCCCCAAGAGGCCCCAAGACGGTCTCCCGAGGCACCCAAGACGCTTCAAACCACCAAGAGGCCCCCAAGACGCCCCAAGAGGACTCCCAGAAGCTTCCAATAGACATCCGAAGAGACCCCAAGAGGCATTCATGAGGCCCGAAGCCATTCGAATGGCCCTCCTCCTCCTCCTCCTCCTCCTCCTCCTCCTCCTCCTCCTCCTCCTCCTCTTCCTCCCCCCTCCTCCTCCTCTCGTTTCTCCCTTCCCCCCCCCTCCCCCTTCTCATCCTCCTCCGAGTCCTCCTCCATCCTCCCCCTCTTGGGGTGTGACGGCTTCCCTGATCAGGGCAACTCGCCTGAGCATCGTTTCTGGATGGGCTGAAGTTTCGCAGGAGAGCGCGATTCCTGGGCGTCGAGGGAGTGGCGCCTAAACAAATTGCCAGGAAGCCCGGAACGAGCGCAAAAGGCTTCCGCCGCCTCAGCGTGAGGCGCGGGACCGAGCAAGACGCCTTGCACGCTCTCATCCACAAGGCCGACCAGGCCGAGCTGGATCCGCTTGGTTTACCCGAGGAACTTCGCCCAGAGGCCGCATACGAAGTCCTGAAGCCCGGGCGTGGACTGGCCGGCTGCAGGGCCATCGAGCAATAGCGCGGTTCCTGGGCAAATTGTGAGGACGGGAAAAATTAGAATTCAAGCGGAAGCCGTTGTTGTAGTTCAGGGGCCAAGAAGCCTCCTAGACATCCCAGGAGCTCTCCAAGAACACCCCCACCAAGGCTCCAAGAGGCTCCTCCCCTCCCCCTCATCTCCCTCCTCCTCCTTCTCCTCCTCCTTCTCCTCCTCCTCATCATCAGCATCATCATCATCATCATCATCAGCAGCATCAGCAGCATCAGCATCATCA